AAATCCAAAGGTGCTTATGCGAGGCTGATCTGACATGCTATAATTAAAGTTCATTCCAGCAGACTCGATTGAGTCTGTTGTAGCGTGGTACAGGTACTCCTCACTTAACGTTGTCCCGGTTAATGTTGTTTTGCTATTGCATCACCTATCTATTAGAGAACATACACATTTAAAGTTGCACAATGTTTGGTTACAATGGTGTTTGGCTGCCGCCTGCTAGTAGATAACTACTATGACGTAATTGGATTCGCTCAACACCGTTTTGCTTAAAGTCACATTTTTCAAGAATGTAAATTATGATGTTAAGCGAGGAGTAGCTGTAATTACTGCGCTCCAGCAGCCTCCAGCATCTCATGTATCAGTCTCCTCAAACTTAAAAACGGCAGCTGGGGTGCTTTATGTAAAGCTCATTTGACAAGCTTTAGATAAAGCATCCCCGTTTAGATAAAGCACCCCCGCTGCTTGTTTGACAAGCTTTAGATAAAGCCTGGGCTTTGAAGTCACCTCAGGACCCACCCAAGAGCCATGGCAGAGAGCATCCTCCCATGGAGGCATACAGCATACAGGGAGATAATAATGAGCCAGGAAGTCAAGGGACTCGCTATGGGTATTTCCCATACTTCTGGGCCCTGTTGGTTGCCCCTGGCCTCTTCCCCCCTTTCTGCCACGTGTCAGGGTGCTTTTGGGTGTCTTCACAGGTGCTCCAAGCGCTTCAATGAGTGGCTCTTGGGAACTGCTCTAATTAAAGTGCCCACAGTTTTGTTTATTCAGTGACCTATGCTTCACAATGGTGGCAGAGGCGCTTTAATGAAAGCACGTTTGACGAGCTTTAGTTCAAGTACGCCTGCTGCCATTTTGAAGTGCGGGGATGCTGACACACATTATGTTGAGGCTAATGGAGCTTCCTAAGGATCACACTTCAGCAGGCTCAGTTAATCAATTCTGCTCTGATACAGTCTAATTAGAACACGTCAGAGCGGCGCTGGCCACGTGTATACGCACTCTTTAAGCCTCCCTTACAGGTATTGGGTGTTGGCTGCAGCCAAGGCTAAAGACTTCAACTGGGGTGTGCCATGCTGCCACTGGGAGCAAAGCCAGAGCTTTCTGGCTGGAGGGTCTTGCCCCTCTGCTCAGGGTCAGACTTTTGCCCCATGGCCAGATTGGTATGGACTGGGCAAGGGGGGTGGGGGCGGTTACTTCCTCTCTAGCAGGACCTTGGCTGTTTTGGGGATCTCTTGAGCATGTACTAACCGCCACTGCGGCAGCAGGACGGTGGCTGCCGTAGCCCCCACTTGCTTTACCTATGGCACGCTAAGGTGTTGTGCATGTGTATCCGGGCTGACTGTAGCTTAGGCCAGGGGTTCCCCACCTTTTTAGATCACGGACCGGCAGACCACAGACAGGAAGCCACCGCAGACCAGCCAACTGAGGATCGGCAAACTATACTTGGTATAAAAAAGGGTTGGCTGCTGCTCCACAGTCTGCAGGTCACTTCCAGACTGGCAGCCAACCCTCCTGCGCACCAGCAGCCGACCCTTACCAGGCCACGGCCCGGGAACCTCTGGCTTGTAGCGGCTGGTATGCAGAGGGAGACTGCTGCCTCAGGAAGAGGGCTGCACTAGACTCCTGCAGCTCCCTTGCAGCCCTGCTTCCCTATAAGTCCGTCACTGCCGCCTGGGCAAAAAAGCCCCCGATGTGCAAAGAGCGAGATGGAGAAAAATACCCCCGCACTTGTAGCCAGGCAGGGGAAGAGGCTTCGTGCAGGCGCCACGGCCGCAGCCAGGCTGCGGCATGACGTCACGTCCCTTTGGCCCCGCCCCTGGCTGGAACCCGGAAGTGGGCGGAGCTAGCGGGTGCCGGCTGGGCTGGCGCTGCTTGGCGCGCGGACTGGAGCAGCCCTGCTCCGCCTGGGCGGGCTGGCGGGCGCGGGGGG